TATTAACTTCCTAATTAGATTATATATTAAGGACGAGGAGTATATGTATTCATACACACACACATATATAATATTCTCCCAGTCGTCATCTCTCCAGTACTCATTAACAACATGGCAGAAGCTCATCATCCCTCTGAACCTCTCTCCCTCTCCTTCTTCCTCGTCACTTGCATTTCTGGCTTTTATTTCTCACCGAAGCAACAAACCATGGCTTTAGTGTAGAGCTAATCCATCGAGACTCTGCAAAATCTCCACTCTATACTTAATCATCACACTTGCAGAAACTTCACAACGCTAATTACTTCTACCCTAATTCTGAAACTGATGAAGCCGAGGCAGATTTACCAGAATCTGAAGTAATCCCTATTACAGGAGAATTCAACATGGCCTATTCCTTAGGCTCACCACCTTTCAAAATCTTCGGACTAGCAGACACAGGCAGTGACCTTGTTTGGTCACCGTGCTTACCTTGTCGTAATTGCTACAACCAAACAGCCCTTTTATTCCACCCTTCTAAATCCTCAACGTTCAAAATCATCTCTTGCTTCGACCAAAAATGTACATCTATTGTTCCCTGTGATGCTCAGACATGTTGTGAGGACGGAACAAAACTTTGTCAGTACGATGAACAGTAACGCGGATTACTCAGTTTCAATCGGAAACATCATATCAGACACAGACACTTGGCTCTACCAGTCGTCGCCAAGTGGCGTTTCCTAACATTGTGGTTCGTTGTGGGTATATCAATGGTCCATTTAGGGAACAGACTTCTGGGATTGGTGGTCTCGGAGGAGGTTCGATTTCTTTAGTTTCTCAGATAAGTTCTTCCATTGATGGTAAATTCTCGTACTGCTTGGCCCCATTGTCGAGTAATCGAACGACCAAGTTGAATTTTGGAGCAAACGGTGTTGTTTCTGGAGCAGGGACTGTCTCTACTCCATGATTTCCAAAGATCCAGCAACTTCCTATTACCTTACGTTGGAAGCAATTAGTGTTGGAGACAAAAGGATAGCCTTTACATCATCAGGTGATTCGATTCTATCTCATCAATCACTAATCTATGTTTGTTAATAATGAGAAATAAGAAAAAAAAATTAAATCAAGATAGCTATCAATTAAGCTATGAATTCTTACCCGTTAATAATACACTTTTGGAAATGTGAGACTCGTTTAGACAGTGGATATAATTTCTAATGAAAGATGAGCAAGTAAATTGATGGAAATATTTGTTTTTAATTCGTAGAATTGTATATATGCACTGTAATAATTCGACACGATCATTTCGGATAGAACTCATGTTCTTGCCTTATTTGAATTATTTATACCAGGTCATTAATTTGATTTCTTTGGTTCACGCCTTCTTCTTTAGTTATATATATGATTATATCATCTCAAACCAATTAATGTTTTAATTAAAAAAAAAAGGCCAAGATTGACTTACAATTTGATCATAGTAATTTGTTAAACGACACCACAACAGAATTATCCATAACCATATATTTAGATGTGATGTAGATTAGATTATAACCAAAATTTTTAATTTTTAATTAGGAGCATTATATTATTTGTATTGATGCTATAAGAAAAGGACTTGGTTTGCATGTAGGTGGTTCAGTGGAGGAGGGCAACATAATATAATTGATTCAGGAACAACATTGACTTTGCTTCCACAAGACTTCTATTCAAAACTTGAATCAGAAGTTGGTTCACAAGTGAAGTTACAACGTGTTGAAGACCCATTAAAGATTTTGATCCTCTGTTATAAGTCTTCGTCGCAAAGCAGTGAAGCTCCCTTAATGGCTGCTCATTTTAAAGGTGCAGATGTTAGGTTAAGTACACTTAACACCTTCACTAAAGTTTCTGGGGAAGTGTTTTGCTTTGCTTTCGGCTCATTTTCAAACGGTGCTGTGTTTGGGAACATCGCACAGATGAACTTCCTGGTGAGTTATGATATTCAGAAGAAGTTGGTTTCCTTCAAGCCACTGGATTGCACCAAGCTTTGATTTTTATGTTTTCTGTCATTAATAATTAAACTGTTTTTTCTTGGTCAGATTTTGTGTAGACTCTATTATTTACGTGGCAATTGGAATGTTGTTTTTTTTTCCTTCACTATTTCAGAAGAATAAGTACAAATCGAACTGTATCTGAAATAAATAATAGTAATATTCAAATGCCTACACTGTGATTCTCTTATTTTCGTTAATATTAATGACGTATATGAGAATATGAACTTAGCTTAAAATTACTAAATTCTAAATAAGAAATTGCAACAAAAATATATTGTATTTATAAGTCCAGTCTTATCAAAACCTATTAAAATGTTGTTATTAATAATTTCAAGTTTCTTTTTGTATAACTTTTAATTTAAAACTTTATATGATAGTAGTATATGTGATGGACTGAAAGACATAGCATGAATCTTGACGAGGGAACATTTTGATATCCATGATTTTGATTTATTTTTATAATTGAAAGTACTGTATAGAGATAAGTGTAAACTAAAATATACATTTACTTAAATTTCTGTTTAATCACTTAATTGATAAAGTATATTTTTAGTCTATTACTTTTAAAACTGTTAATCTTATTGACGGAAAATGCTGACTCAACCAAATTAGATGATAACATATGCAATCTAATAGTCACAAAACATACTTAAATTTTAATTCTTTAATACAATGGTGTGTTTTAAAATTAAAACATACAAATATACAGATTTGTAGATTTGAAGCCCACAATGAAGTTTTCGGCTTTTTGTTATTGGGCCCTAAACAATTATAATGCTGATCCCCAGGAGAACTTTCCAGAGAAAGTGGGGAGAAAACAAACAAATCGGTGCAAAGAAGATAAGAACGAGTTCACATGGGACTGATGTACAAAATCAATAATATTTTTTCATTCTTCCGAATGCCATTATGTTGTCTGCCACTTCCATTGCTCATATCTGATCTTCTTGATCTGCCATGTCTTTTGGTGTTTAAATATGTCAAACGATATATTGAGCAGATTAATGACAATTTAACCTTTCATTCCATGCTGGTAAAAAAAAAAAATCTTTCTGTGTGAATTCATGCACCACTCCGCTTTTGAATATATGTTACTTGTATGTAGTAGTGAGAAGTTTTAGCTATAAATGTAAGTTATTTATAAGATATTTAATTTTTTTTCAATTTTATCCTTATAATTTGATTCTTACTGGAAAAAAGAAGAGGGATATATGATGATGATTTGTAATTATAGAGAGAAGAGAACTTTAATAGTAAGGGTAAAATTAATTTTTTTTTATCAAATCATTGCATTCCGTAATACTCCCTTCAGTCAATAATGCAATAAGTTAGTTAATTTTTCTCATATATTAAGAAATGAAAGTTTAGTCACTGAATTTGTTCTAAAATGACAGATTTTTCTATTTTACCACTAAAAAAATGACTAAGTTGCTTTTAATCTTTTTTTTTTAATTATTCTCATCTCTCTCCTATATTTAATAGGGGGAAGTGAAAAAATCATATTAATTATTCTGATAAGGTCTTATATTTTAGACCATAATTTTATTCTAACAAACGTCCTATATTATGTTATGAACCAGACAGTACATAAAAATGTGCTATAAGTAACTCATACCAAGGATTTATAATATTATCAGAACAAAAGATGCATGTAGGTAGGTAGGCGTGAGCAAGTTTGGCACTATTAATTGCCCATGTGAACTGTGGGAATTGATCAAAGTCTTTAAGAATGACACTGCATTATTATTATCTTGCCAAAAAAAAAAAAAGACACTGCATTATCAAAAGACGACTCAGACTGTTGACTTAGTTAAATAGTTAGTGCATAAAATATGAATCAATCATTATCTATGTAGCTAATAATAATAAAATACTTATAAAGCTTCTCATAAAATATTGTTTCTAGCGCTATCTCCAGTCTAATCGACCTTAAGTATGATAAAAGCCGTGGTAAATATATAATGCATGCAGTTGAAATAGTAAAACTACTCCACAAAATTTGCTTTGTTTAAAGAACCCAAGTTGGACTCAAGAGTTGGTTGTAACATTACTCTGATTGAACTTTAAAGCTGATCACTTTGGGAAAAAAAAAGGGGCTAAAAATAATAAAAATATCTTGTAAGAAAATTACTAATGTCAAAATTGTCAAATATGATTTTTATTAGCAAACGAATAAAAATAAACAAGATAAAGACACTTAGATGACGTTAAAATCCAAAAACCATTAAAACATAATTTTTATTGTTAATTAAAAGTTTTGATTGATTGGGTTTCAACAATTCATGAAGCTTAGGTAGGCTTCATAGCTTGAAAAATGCTTAAAAAAATACGTACAATTTTTTTAAACTAATGATACTTTTACATTGAAAGCAAGCTTCGGATACACTCTATTTATGAAATGAGACCTAATTTTCCTCAATTGGATCGATCCTCATGTCATTAATAATTCACATCTTATACACACAACTACTTGTGTTTATTATTAACGAGTCATTGTCCAAAAACAATTTTAGCTCAACCGTTGGATGCAACTTAATTACATGAACATAATATGAGTCGCAACTATAATATTTTTTTATAATAAATATTTATGAAAGAGACAATTGGAGAAGAAGCCCCTGTTCAAAGTTTTATTTATGAGAAGGACCTAACTCAAAATATTGGTACTCTCTGTGCACAAAATTTGTAGAGCATCAATACGTTCTATATATAAAAAATTTATCAACTGTTTCTCACCAATAAAATTTTTAATCCCCATTTTTCCCTATATGAAATTACTTGCTGTAAATTTTAACTTTTTGAATTTATGATTAGTGTAATTTACATATATATTTTCGCATCCTCATGAGTATATAAAATGTTCACTATTTTAAAATATATCTGTTCATTTGTTCACTATTTTAAAATACAATTCACTTAAAAATTGTAGAAGCAAGTAAAGGATTGAAAGCATATCCGGAACAAACGTCGCATATTCAAATCAACACCCAGATATTGCAGATAAAAACTGTAATTACAATTATTTATATATCGATCTTGGAATATAAAATTGAGAATTACATAATCCTTATTACTATCTTGAGCAGATCTTATATTTAGGAACGGCGGGAGGCAGTGTTAGTACAAAAGTAAGCCAACATTTGGCTGAATCAGCTACCGTTAACTTGACCCTTAGCAGTTTGCTTTGATTCCTCCATTGTTGTTGAGTCACTGTTCATAAGCTTTGCCGGCAAAGCTCTCATGGTGGTGAAGTAATGTTGAGGAGGTGGTCCTCTGGTGGGGCCCGGTCTTCCACCGCGAACTCTGATTAGAAGAGAATGAGAAAAGCTATAGCTAGTTAGATTCTGATAGAGGAAATTAAGTGATGAGAGGAAGAAGAAAGAGAGAAAATGAAGAAGCAGAAAGCTAAAAGTACTGACTGAATCAAGGACTGTTCTGAGTGTGGAAAGAAGTTGAGGACTCGAGCAAGATTTTCCGGCGAGAAATTTCCCAGTAAACGGCGAGACATGGTGAGGAAGACGATGAACAGATTTGCGTCTGTGATGATTTGCTCACAATGATGCAGCTGTGAGTGAAGGAGATTAGTGAATTATAGAGACAGAGATCAAATTAATTTATATAGTGAAAATGGGAATAGTCCCTGCCGTATTATTGAATTCATGGGTCCACAAAATATAATTATTTATGGTCTTCAACTTGTTCAGCGATCTCTCTTTCTTTAATCAAATCATCACGAGGATTATAAGTCTTCGCTGGCTTTTGTCTTTAGGTGTCAGATGTCCATGGCCCATTCTTACCCAAACGGCCGGGTGGCACACGTCTGTCTTTCTCTCTGTTCTCTTGTATTACTTTCTCCGTTTCAATTTATATACTGGTAATATGTTTTGAAGTAGTTTCATCCGTGACTCATTGAGTTTATTATCTTTGGGTTTTTAAACTACAAAATTATGTCACCTTTCTGCCAAACTCCTGTTGGCTGCAAACTCAATTGAATTCGTGAACTGACCCATCAAGTTTACAGATTTTGTATTTCTAATTTACAAAATTGTATTAACTTCTTTTTTAAGTACTCAATAACTCTTTGATTTGTTGCTGAGTTAAGTGAGCCAAACACTAGTGGGTAAAACTCATTTTCTAGAATGTGCAGGAGGTCAGCCTGATTAAAATAAAAAATAATTATCCTTTGCTTTGTATTATTAATTAGCAAGTCTAGAGATTAATGTCTATCTCGTTACTTTTGGTAATTAAATATGCCAAAATTGTCGGGTTGATTAATTACAATTTAAATTTCACTCAATGTGAGAATTCATCTACAATGTAATTAAAACAAATAAATTTTTATAAAACAATTTTAGACAGAAGTTTCGACTCAACTCAAATCAAGGGCAGCACGTTTTGTTCAACACCTACCTATAACGGCAAGAACTGCACTTTCTTATCAAAAAGGGAGGAGGTGATTGATTCATATTACGAGCGCGTGTAGGTAGGTGTGAACAAGTTTGCATGGCATTATTAGTTGTCTATGCGACGACCTTCATATTCAATTGAAGACTTTGAATAACAATGCTTTATTAAAAGACGACTTAAACTGTTAACTCAAATAATTAATGCATAAAATATGAATCAATCATCATCCGGGTAGCTAATAATAATATGATACTAAGAAATTTAATTTAGTTTTAAATATAAGATTTAAATTTACTTTGTCTCTCATATTTATTCATATTTTTTCAAGATAGTCCTTAGCTTATAGTGCACATATTAAACATTTCATAAAATAGTAGTTCTAGCTAAAATATATTATTAATAAGGGTATTTTTAAAAAGAAAATATCTATTTATTATAAATAACTAACTAATTAATTTTTTTAATTTATTCAAGTTAGTTAATTAACTCTTATATTAAGTGCTTGATATAAAGCTTTGGATAAAATATTGTTTCTAGCGCCTTCTCGACCTTAAAGATGATGCAAGCCGGGGTAAATACATAAGGCATGCACTTGAAACAGTTGAACTACTCCACAAAAATTTGCTTTTTTAAAGAACTCAAGTTGAGTTTGACCAAAAACAAAAATAAAGAACCCAAGTTGGACCCGAGTAGAGTCAGGAAAACAGGCCGAGCCCGTTGGGCCAATCCGTTTAGGCCCTGAAATTATGAGGGCCGGACTTGATATTTTTCTCTTAAAATGAGAAATAAGCCTTGGAGGGCTAGCCTTGAAGGGCCAAGGGCTTAAAAGGGCCGGCCCTTTTAAGCCCTTTTATTATTTTTTTAATTTTTTTAATTTTTTATATAATATTAATGTTATTAATTTTTTACATTGTTAATAATATTTCAAATATTTAGTTATTATTATCATTTTAAAATTAAATTTAGTTTTAGACAATAATTTATCCAATTAAATTTTTAAAAAATGGGTTAATTTGGACTTTAATAATGATTTGATTTATATTATATGCGTTGATACTTTTAAACTATATATATATATATTTGATAATAGAATATTTTTATACTTATATAACTTGTGATTCTATAATTTGAATTAGAAATTCATGAGTTTCAACAACAATGTTTCTCACATTAAAGTAAAATAATAGTTAGATTGCAAAATTTAAAAATAAAATTCTTATAAAGAAGAAAAACTTGATATTTTTGTTACGAAAGAAAAATATACTTATGAAGAAAAATAATTAATTATAGTGATGATGAAGTTTCAAAAGATTAATGATAGTGTTTATTTATTGCACAATTGCATTATAGATAAAACTTTTAGATGTTGTTATCTTGTTAATGAATGTTTTAGATGTTGATGAATATTTATATATGATGATATTTTATATTTGTAACTTAATTTTATTCATATTTATGTCTTTTACTAATAATTTCAATGGTTTATTTTTATATTTTTATAAAAAAATATGATAAATATAAAAATAGTATTTTTTCTTAAACAGGCTAAAAACCCGCGGGCCAGCCCTAGCCCTGTAGCTTAAGGGCCGGGCTTAGCAAATTGAGGTAGTTTTAAATTTTCAGCCCTGGAGGGCCGGCCCTTTTAAGCCTGCTAGCCCTGAAGGGCCGGCCCTGATTCCCAGCTCTAGACCCGAGAGTTGGTTGTGATATATTACTCTGCTCGAACGTACTTTTAAAATTGATCAATTACAAAAAAAGGACCGATAATATTAAAATAATAAAGTATCTTGTAAGAGATTTGATTATCATAGTCAATAATCAAATATGATTTTTATTAATTTTTTATCACAGACATATGAATAAAAATAAATAAAATAAAGAGTCACTCAGAAGACATTAAAATCCGCAAAAAATTAAAAAATATTTTTTATTGGTAATTAAAAGTTTTGATTAATTGGGTTTCAAAAACTCATTAAGATCAGGCAGGCTTCATTTATCGCCTGAAAAATGCCTACCAGTGCCTACGACTTTTTGTCTCAACCCTCAGCTCGTCAAATGAGACCTAAGTTTTCCTTATCGGATCAATCTTCATTTCATTGAGAATAATATTATACGTATTTATATCTTAAATATACCACTGCCTTTATTAATTATTAATAAGCCGTTGTCCAAAAACAATTTTATCTCAACTGTTGAGTACAACTTGATTACAAGAATATAATATAGGGAACGCGAATCATATAATTTTTTTTTGCTTTAATAATTGAAATTTTAGAAATTACTTGCTGTAAATTTTAACTTTTTCAATTAATGATTAGCATAATTTACATATCTATTTTAGTTTCAATTGACATGGGGTTAGGGAGAGGACACATCTGAATCCACTGTTGATTTCATAAGTGTATAGGATGTTCACAATTTTAATTAATACTCCCTTCGTTCCTTATTATAAGAAACAACTATCAAAATTATGTAGTTAAAAATATTAGTTAAATTTATTTAAAAGCTAAGATGTATACATATTTTTTTAATTATGTCCTTATTTGTAAAGAGAGTACATAAGAGATAATAAATAAAAATTGATTATAGGGAAATAATAAGTGACGTATAGTTAAAGGTAAAAGCACATCTAGCATTCTTATCTTAATTATTTCCTAGGTGCATCCAGTACCCTCATTTTTTATATGGTACATCCAGTACCTTGACCTTAGTTTCCTAACACCCCGATATTATTGGGTGCAGGATATATCAAAAATAAAAATTTGGGTGCTGAGTGTACCGCATAAAAAATAAGAGTGTTGGATACACTTTTACTCTATAGTTAATACGAGTAAAAATGAAAAGACTAGTCTAAAATTCTAGATAAAAATGATTCATTTTTTATATTTAAAAGCACGTATGACAGAGATTATTTCCCGCAAAAAAGAGAGGGAAGAAGCTAGTAATAAAGGATTGAAAGAATAAACCAAACAAAAGCTTTTTCAAACTAACACCGAAATTATATTATAGAGATCAAAACTCCTACTACAGTTATTGATTGATGTTGGTGAAAAACATGAGAATCACATCCTTATTATTACTAGTACAACAGCAAGTCAACACTTTGGAGAATCATCTACCGTTGACTTGACCCTTAGCAGTGTCCTTCGATTCCTTTATTGTTGTTGAGTCTCTGTTAATAAGCTTTGTCGGCAAAGCTCTCATGGTGGTGAAGTAATGTTGAGGAGGTGGTCCACTGGTGGGTCCCGGTCTTCCACCGCGAACTCTGATAAAAAGAGAAAGAAGAGAATGAGAAAAGCTATAGCTAGTTAGATTCTGATAAGGGAAACTAAATGATGAGAGGAAGAAGAAAGAGGGAGAATAGCGAAGCAGAAAGATAATTAAAAGTATATATACTGACTGGATCAAGGATTGTTCTGAGCGTGGAATGAAGTCCAGGACTCGAATAAGATTTTCCGGCGAAAAATTTCCCAGTAAACGGCGAGACATGGCGACGAAGAAGATGAACAGATTTGTGTCTCTGACTTGCTCACAATTAGGCGAAGGAGATTAATGATTTATTCAGAGATTGACGAGTGATCAAATGAATTTATAGCACAAGTGGGAGTAGTCCCTCTCGTATTATTAAATGGTTGGGTCCACTAAATATAAAATTATCTATCAACTTCAACTTGCATAGAGCTCGCTCCACCCCCCCCAACCCAAAAAAAAATCTATATATCTATCTATGTATTTATCTAATGGTCATCTACTCCCTTCTGTTTGACATATAAACTTCAAATAACTGAATCATGTTTCATGAATTAGTAGTTAAAATTAGTTAAAAATAATAAATAGATCATAAATGTAATTTTTTTTCCAAATTTTTTCTTATTTATTAAGAAAGCAAATAAGAGAGGAAATAAATGAAAAAATAATGAAAGAGAATATATAGGGATAATATTAATGAGAGAAATGGAGCATTAAATACAATCAACTAAAGGCGCAATAGGGAAAATAAATAAATAAATACTCAGGTAAACTAAAGACTGAAGTTTATATTTTGGACGAAACTACTCTCTAAAAGTGAAGTTCATATATAGAGCCGGAGGGAATATTTATCTATAATTCTGTATAATCAAATTCAAACAACGAGGATTACAGGTCTTTGTTGACTTTTGTCTTTACGTG